GGAGTGAATTGGGCTGGGTGGGGACTGTGGCAAATGGACAGCTCTGGGTCTAGTGGTATCACAACTTCCGATTTCTCAGGAGAAGCCAAGAATCTGGATTTTTGGTTAAATCTACTGAATTTTAAGCATTGGCTCAATTAAACGATAATGCCATGTAGACCATATAAAAGATAAAACCAAGATAGACTGACTTGTCTAGAGTTAGTAGCACAGCTGGGATTTCAATCTAAGTCCTCCAAGACTGGCGCTTTTTCCACTTAATCCAGCCCCCCACCCTTCACCTCAGGACCCCTCCCCACTTCTCTCCTCTTTGGGCGTCCTTCACTGCCTCTCCCTCCCCGCCCCCCAGGCTGGGGCCATCGGGGATTGGGACGAAAGCGTCCAGCTCCTCTGCCCACCTGCTGTCCCTTTCCCAGCGGGACTTGGACTCCGTCCACAGGTGAGGAGGGCCGGGCCCTGAAGGAGGAGCAGTCGGGTGTCTGGGGCTGACCGTGAGAACCCAGCCCCGAGGGAGGCGTGGGGACGGCGGGGCCACGGTCCCGCCCAGCCTCTCCAGCCTGTCCCCGCGCAGATCTCGGAATCTCCGGTCTGAGACAACCCGTTGTCCGCACCCCACCCCGCTCTGACCCCGCCACCCTGGGAACTGTTTTCTATTCTCCCGGGGCGCAGGTGGGAGGCGAGGAACGCCGGGGTTCTGGAGCCTGGCTGCCCGCCAGGCCCATGACCTTCGGCCCTGGGGCCACTGGGGCGGCCGCGCCTCCCAGGCAGGAGGAGAGAACGCCTGGGTCCGGCCCGGCTGCGCTGCGCTCCCGCCTCCAGCTCCGCCATGGGCTCGCTGAGCTCCCACGCCGCGATCATCCCCGACCTGGACAGCATTCGGCGGGAGACCGGCTGTGAGTGCGCCCGGCTCCGCTGGCTGGAGCCTGGGGGCTGGGGTCGCAGGAGATGCAACGCAGCGTAGGGGTCCCAGAGGAGGGGCTGGGCTCCGGGATGGACTTGCAAGTCCGGGGTCCGGGCCCCGGAGCTGGGAGACCAAGACCCCAGCGTCTGCGGTCGCGGGGCGAGGGGCGAGTTGACCTAGCGGTTCCAGCTTCCGAGTTTGAGGAGGGTCCGGGTCCACAGGGTTGGGGGCCAGATGAATCCAGGCGCCCGGGTGTCCTCAAGCCCGGATGGAGGCTGAAGGCAGAGCTGACCGCGGGTGGAGGGGGTGGCGAGAGCCGGGACGCTGCTGGCCTCCGGGTTCCCGAACCTGGTGCTGGTTGGGTCTCGTCACCCCTTCTCCAATCCTGCCAGCTCCGCCCCCGGGTCTCCGGGGACGACCGCCCCCTCCAGCAGACCCCCGTG